ATTCCTCATTAAAACAAACAAACAAACGAACAAACCAAAAAAAACCCCTATGCATTACCAGCTTTCAATTTTATTTAAAACTTCTATTCCACATACACAACTAACTCCAACCACTCCAATCCTCAACAATAATATTGAAAGAACAAATGTATTTTGAAAGCATTGTTTACCTACCCAAACAACCAGGATTAACTCTTGGGTAGTTCCACAAAGAGTAGTTGTTTGAGTAGGAGAGCGGGAGCTGCACACCCAAATATTTCAGGTCAATGCTCATTGTTGGGTCCACAGAATTCAACTTCAATCCCACTGCAAGAAGCAAATACCAGTAAAAATCACACACAGCCATGCCAACTGTTAACAAAAAGCAGCAGCAAATCTTAAGAAAATAAATGTATAAGTTTATCCTTAGTAATAAAAAATTATGTTAGAGTCTGAATTTATTCTGGGTTTTAACAGACTTGAAAATAGAAAGAAAATGGAATAGGGGTTTCAGTTTCCCACCAGACTTCAAGCAATTTAGACACTACAGTTTCCAAGATCATACCAGCCTATTAAGATCTGCTTGAGATGAGATAAAAAGCAGAAATCACTTCAATCTCTCTGTCCTGAGTAGAAAGTAAATATCCCATTGCACGTGTTGAAATAAAAGAAATCAACTTCTGTTCCCCTGGGCAACACTCCTTATCTCCAAAAAAAACCCACAACAGCTACAGGTGGTACAGTAAAACTCCATTAGTCCGGCATCCAATGCTCCGGGACTCCTGATGGTCCGGCACCATCAGGAACCCGGAACTGCTGGGGCAGCCGGACAGGCTTCCCCAATTCAGCTGCTGCTGAAACTGACCAGCAAGTGAATCCTGAATATGCATTTTACATTAATCTACATACACACCCTAATGTATTTTTAGAAGTCCTATAAAATAGAATTAATTATGATTAAGGCTATTGTGTTTACACATTCAGTCACTGCACAATCCAGTGATAGAATGTTCATTCTTTTTTTAAAGTATTAAGAGATACTGTGAGGATAAAAAGACACATTTTATAAAAATCAACTATTTCTTAGCAGCTGACCAGAAAAACAAAAGTGAAAGTAACAACTGCATGGAATAATTCAACACAGCAAGATACTAGGCACAAAGAAATTTCTAGACTCTTATCCCCTTCCATTTCCCCACATGCTTGCAATATTTGAAATAAAAAAAATGGTAACTGTAAAAAACGGTTACTCACCTTTTATAATCGTTGATTTTCTCCATGTTTTGTTCATGACCATTTCAATCAGGTGCGTGTGCGCGCATATACACAGAAGCCAGATTTCTGCGTAGCAGAAACCATTGGATCAGCCTACGCATACCCTGGAGTGGTGCTGATATAGCACTCAATATATAACTTCACTAACCCGTCAACCCCTCAGTTCCTCCTTGCCAGTAGTCCAAAAGAGGTGTAGGAGGGCGGATATTGGAATGGACATGAACAACCCATCTCAAAGATCAACAACTACAAAAGGTGAGTAACCATTTTTTCTTTGAGTACATGTTCATGTGCATTCCAGTCCTAAGTTTTAGGACATGGTTACTCAACTTTGGAAGCCCTGGGGACCACAGTGATGATCATAGCACATGCCAAAGGCTGCAACATAAGTGTGGTTGCAAATACATGCAAATATATATGCAAGTAACTTCTTTAACACTGACAGGCATGAATACAAAGATTAAGGCAAGATTACACAACACGCAGGCCCCATTTAAGTCAATTCTGCTGACATTAATAAAATGCAAAATTTACCCAATTTTGATGCATATGACAGCACTTTTAATGAGAAATGACAGTCCAAGAATTTAACTACTAAAACCCATATCAACAGAAGACCATTATATATTGACTACTTTTTTGTTTTGGCTTCATAATTTTAACAAAAATCAAACAAAACTGCCAATACAGTACTGGAATTTACTGGATATAAGTACAATGTGAAGATTGTGTCTGCAAACTTTTCACCAACTGTTTCACATCAGGCTTGTATTCCGTTGTAGCAGCACAGAGACAGTCGATCAGAAGTCTGTCAGTAAGAGAGGTGTGCAGTTTTGCCTTGATTCCCATGGAGGAGAATGAACTTTCACGGACATATGTAGACTCAAAGCAAGTTAGCACTTTTCTGGCACATTTCAGTAATGTCTTCCTGTACAAAGGCCATCCAAAATGTTTCAGTGTCCTCTTCCTTATCCTAGCTTTTAGAATACTATTGTTTTGCAGTTCTATCATTTCTTTTTCAACGCCAAATCTCACTGCTGAAGGTGAGACTGCCTTTACTTGAACTGAAAAGGGAGTCCATTGCTCCGTGTGGGATGGAGGCCGGGCTGCCTGGCTGCAGCGCCAGACATGGCCAGTGTGAGCCAATCAACACCTCAGGCTCTGCCCACAAGGCTAAGCAGACAGCACTTCCCACAATGCCCCGCTCCTGGCACCTCCTCCTGGAGACTAAAAACACCGACACCCTGTACTTGTCTGTTCCAGCAGGCCCGTCTGCTTGTGTCTTTAAATGTTCACCTCACCTGGGAGATGCGTCACCATTGCAGAAAGTGTTCCCAGTGGAGGCCATGTTCAAAGGATCCCACCTGCGGGCCACATGCTGAGCCCCGCGTAAACCCAAACCACACTGCAGATTGCAAACAAATGGGTCGCAGGTCACATGTGGCCCACAGGCCATGTGTTGAATAGCCCTGCTTTAGGAGGTAGGGTCTGAGCCACAAGCTGATTGGAATACTTCCCTTCTGAAGACCATGTCATGTCTGACTTGCTGGGTGATTGCGTAATGTGCTGTGAACATGTGGATGGAGGACCATATCACTGCCCTACATATCTCATGAGCTGGGATGTGAGTGAGAAATGCTTTGGTGTGTTTGCCAGTGCAGGAACCTGTGCAAGGCTGTAGCATTTGCAAATGCAGGAGACTATCCACAAAGAAATCCACTGAGATGACACAAGCTGGCCTTTCAACCTATCTGCAACAGCTACAAATAACTGAGCTGATTTTCTTAATGGTCTAGTCTTAATGTAAAAGGCCAATGTCCTGCACACTTCAATGGTGTGGAGTGTCTGTTTTTAACCACCAGAATACAATTTAGGATAAAACACTAAAATAAATATGTCCCAATTGATATGGAACTGAGAAACCACCATAAGAAGGAACACAGGGTAAGGTCTTAACTGCACCTTGTTCTTAAAGAACATTATGTAGGGGGCTCTGAGGTTAGGATCCTCAGTTCTGAAACTCCTGGCTGAGGTTATAGCCATTAGGAAAGCTACCTTTTTAGAGAGGTAAAGAACATATGGCTAGCTGTTCAAATGGAGAATCTGTCTGTCTTGATAGGACAAGGCTGAGGTCCCACGGAGGGACGAGTTGGCACATGGAGGAACAAGTTGGCACACCAACAGACATGATCTATCTCTACCTTTTAGGAACCAATTAACCACGGGATCAGAGAATACTATGCAACTTTGTATCCCAGGATGGAATGCCAGTATGGCAACCAAGTGGGCCCTTATAGATGAAGCCAAAAGACCTTGCTACTTCAGCTAAAGGAGGCAGACCAGGGCAAGTGGGACCGGTGCTAGCATAGGAGATGAACGGAGTTGCAATGCCCAAATGGAGAACTTCTTTTATAAATACATTAAAAGCAAGAGGAAGACCAAGGACAGGGTAGGCCCACTGCTCAGTAAGGAGCGTGAAAAAGTAACAGGAAACTTGGAAATGGCAGAGATGTTTAATGACTTGTTTCGGTCTTCACTGAGAAGTCTGAAGGAATGCCTAACACAGTGAATGCTAGTGGGAAGGGGGTAGGTTTAGAAGACAAAATAAAAAAAGAACAAGTAAAAAATCACCTAGAAAAGTTAGATGCCTGCAAATCACCAGGGCCTGATGAAACGCATCCTAGAATACAGCCGTTCCCCAACTTAGCAAACAAGTTACATTCCGAATAACTGGTCGTAACTCAATTTGTTCCTAAGTCGGAAATATCCCATATGAAGCACTCGAAGTGTAACCAAGCACCAACAACACAGCAAACAGCAACAAAAAATAGAAACACACGAAAAAAACAACACTACTGCAGCAACAGCAAACTTTATTTAACAAACATGAACAGGAAATACAAAACATAATGCAGTAATTTAAATACAGTAATGTGAACTGAATTAATTGGATAAGGGAGAAGGGATAAGGGATGTCATATACCTAGACTTTAGTAAGGCATTTGATACGGACTCGCATGAGATTCTTATTGATAAACTAGGCAAATATAACTTAGATAGGGCCACGATAAGGTGGGTGCATAATTGGCTGGATAACCGTAGTCAGAGAGTTGTTGTTAACGGTTCTAAATCCTGCTGGAAAGGGATAACAAGTGGAGTTCCTCAAGGGTCTGTTTTGGGACCCGTACTATTCAATATCTTCATCAATGATGTAGATATTGGGATAGAGAGTACGCTTATTAAGTTTGCAGATGATACCAAACTGGGTGGGGTTGCAACTTCTTTGGAGGATAGGGACATAATTCAAAACGACCTTAGCAAGTTAGAGAAATGGTCAGAGGTAAACAGGATGAGGTTTAATAAAGAGAAATGCAAAGTGCTCCACTTAGGAAGGAACAATCAGTTCCATACATACAAGATGGGAAGCGACTGTCTAGGAAGGAGCATGGCGGAAAGGGATCTAGGGGTCATAGTGGACCACAAGTTGAATATGAGTCAACAGTGTGATGCTGTTGCAAAAAAAGCAAATATGATTCTAGGTTGTATCAACAGGTGTGTTGTAAGCAAAACTCGTGAAGTCATTCTGCCGCTCTACTCTGCACTAGTTAGGCCTCAGCTGGAGTACTGTGTCCAGTTCTGGGCACCACATTTCAAGAAAGATGTGGAGAAATTGGAAAGGGTACAGAGAAGAGCAACAAGAATGATTAAAGGTTTAGAGAACATGACCTATGAAGCCAGGCTTCATGAACTGGGCTTGTTTAGTTTGGAAAAAAGAAGATTAAGGGGGGACATGATAGCGGTTTTCAAATATCTAAAAGGGTGTCACAAGGAGGAAGGAGAAAATTTGTTCCTCTTGGTTTCTGAGGACAGGACAAGGAGTAATGGGCTTAAAGTGCAGCAGGGGAGGTTTAGATTGGACATTAGGAAAAAATTCCTAACTGTCAGGGTGGTCAAATATTGGAATAAATTGCCAAGGGAGGTGGTGGAATCTCCCTCTCTGGAGATATTCTTGGCCAAGTGTTAAGTGGCTCCTGTGGAGAGCTTCCTGCTAC